CCCCAAAGGCACATGCTGAGGCCCTCACCCCAGGACCTCGGATGTGGTTGGACTTGGAGTTAGGGGTTTAAGAGGTGAGGAAGATAAAATGAAGCCTTGAGGCAGACCCTGCTCCAACAGGGCTGGCTTCCTTACAGAAGAGGAAGAGACAGAAGGATACGCTCACACAGGCGAGGCCATGGGAAGACAGCAAGGAGGCGGCCGTCTACAAGCCCAGAGCAGAGGCCTCAGGAGAAGCCGGCCTTGCTGAGCGTTCTGCCCCCGGTTCCAATGTGTGTGGGGCGGTGTTTCCACACCACCAGTAATCCTCAGACACCAGCTAAGTGTCCTCTCATTCAACTCAACCCTGACACGACCTACTCACAGAGAGATGGCGTCAGACTCTACAAGCTAGGGAGTCAGCCAAGCGGGTGACAATTACAGGCTGTGCGCCCGAGGCTGTGGGGACAGGAGATGCGTGCAATGGCTCTTGCTGAACTGTGTTACTGGCAGTCCCTCTACATAATGTCATGTTACTGCCCTCTGCTCCGAGAAGAGCTGAAAACGTGCGTCGCTGCTACAAAGATACCAAACTGGAAAATCACAGCACCGTACAATGTATTCTGAGTCAAGGTGTCTCGGAATGGCCCGTCACCCCAAGAGAGAGAGACAAGACATAAGAGGGGACGAGTGAGTCCGACCCCCACCCTCAACCAAAAAGCACAGGGTGGCCGGTGCCTGAGGAAGCGGTTCTGTTTTTATCTTGAAGGAAACCAAAATAGCAGGGAACACAGCAAGGAGAATTTGTATCCCGCTAAAGCGGAGGGTGCAGCTGGGAAAACGCATTTTCTTTCGACAGGAAGTCACTTGTTACATCCTGCTTGGGACAAGAAAAGCAGCGGTGGGGGCACTGCTGGGGGAGAGGGTGCTTGAAAGGTCTTTCATTCTAGTAAGACTCCTGAATTTTCCGAAGAAAGAAACATCCACAACAGGCCCAGAAGAGACCAAAAGGTCTGGCGGGGGAGCCAGTGGGATGGAGACGCCCTTCCTGTCTACGAAGGAGGAGGGGCCACTGGGCTGCAGGAGGACACAGGGGCTTCACTGCAGGGTAACCTGGAGGGCGGAAGGGTGACCTGGGTCACTCAGCTCCTCTGTGGGAAAGGGCCACCCCTGCACTGCTCTGGACCGTCCCAGCAGGCACGGCACTGCCAAGTGGGAGGGAGCTGGGTTCTCCCACGGTCTCCACGACAGCAGCGTGTGCTGGTCCAGGTGGCAGAATGGGCATGGGAAAATGTCAGCCACACCCAGAAGAGTCCCGGCCTCCAGTCGGGAGTGTGATCTGAAGTATATTCAAACTCTGAGCTCAGAAACCCCAGGAACCTCAGGAACCCACCTGGATGTGATACCCTTCCTCACCAAGGTTTGTTTCCGTGTCCTGCAAACTCACAGTGGGAACGTGTCCCATCTCTAAACCGAGCTTTGTGTCATCTATTCTGCAGGTGAAGAAGGGACAGTCCGGCCTCTCTGCTTAGGAGGAGAGTGGCGTGCGGGCCGGTGCCAGGGGGCCTGGAGGGCAGAGAGCTTGGCTGGGATCGGCTGCACGGTCCCTGACGTGCCCTGCAGCCCGGCCTGAGACTCAGTTTCCCCAACTCAGCTGAAGAAGGGACATCATAATCAGCAAACGTGCCCGGATGGTTGTGGGGGTTAAATTAGGCAATTCATTTTTACAAATGGCGAATAAAGTGTGATACACACACACACACACACGTGTGTGTGTGTGTGTGTGTGTGTTATTTTGAAGAAGCATGATTCAGAGATATTGGGAAACCAAACTGACTGAGGGGAGTTTAGCAGGATACACAAGGGCCAAGGGGCAGAAACCTGGGTCACGGAAAGGCACTGCACACACGCAGAGCGGGAAGCGGCCGGGAGGGGACACAGGAGCTGTAACACCTTGTGTGCGTCTGTTCACATCCTCCCATTTCATCACCAGGCTGCGAGGCCCTGCGCAGGTGACAAGCGCACTCACGGCAGGTCCAGCCTGCGGTCGGGCTGCAGCTCCGGCCCCTCCCGCAGCCGCAGGGCCCGGCGCCCGCTCAGTGTCTGTGCCACGTGCCCCATCCTGTTCTTCCTCACCAGGACGGGGACGCTGTGACAGCAGCGCCCTGCTAAGGGCTGGACCACACCCGGGGGGCCCTGTCCTGGGCAGCAGCCCAGCTCCGCAGGGCACACGGGCGCCACGACGGCCACGTCCAGTGCTGGCGTCAGGCAGAGGCCCCCACTTCCCGGGGCTCCTTTCAGTTCTTTTCCCATCGTGAGGAGCACATTTGGCAGGTACTGTCCAGAGTTGCCACCAGTTGTAAGTTGGCTCCGTGAGCAAAGCAATTCATTAGCCATTTGCCTATAAATTCTGAAATCGGTGTTTTTTCACTTCCATCAGTCTCCTTGGAAACTCGGGATCTGAAGGGGCTCTGACCCCAAACACAGGTGCAGCAAGAATGCCAGCCATGAGTCAGGGCCGAGGACAGGCAGGGGCCGTCTCAGCTTGGGGCACGCGGGGGGAGGGCGGGGGGGAGCTGGGAGATGGAAGACCACGAAAGGTCCTTGCCCAGCCGGCAGTTCCTCTGTCCCGTCCCATGAGCGCCCCTGGGTCCCGGCGAGAAGGCAGAGCCATTTATTTGTCTTAACATACAACTGTAGGCCTCAGCTAACTATACACAATGAGTATTGCATAGCACAGATTCCTTCACTTTTACGTAGCTTTCTCCTACTGAAGAAACTAGCCACATCTAAGAAAAATATTTACACTGAGTGAGTCTCTCACAGGTGATTGGTCCAAATTCAGATTGGGCAGGTCAGGGTGGCTGCAGGCTATGGAGGGGTGCTTCTCAAAATGGGGTTCCCCTGGGAACCTGATGAAATGCAAATTCCCAGGCCCCGCCCACACCTACTGAATCTGAAACTCTCATCACAGAGCCAAGGAAAATGTGCTTTCACAAGCCTTTGGGGTGATTCCGATGCCACTCAAGTCTGAGAAATACTGACTTAGCATGTGTCACTTCCGTCCGGATGTTCCAATGGAATTGAAACCACACTGAGGATTCTGGGAAGGGAGGCGCAGGTGTGACACAGAGACTGTGCTGTCTCCTGGAAGATCATGTGTCACTTCACTCATCTTGATGACTAGATGACTAATGTGTCATCTTACTCAGGTTCTCTGATAGTGGCCTTGCACGAGGACACCAGCCATTTCTTTCATCAGAAAATTTCTTTGAAAAGTGTTTTTAGAAATAACAAATACTAATAATCAAATTATGAGTATATAATCAGATGACCAATACAGACACAAAGGTGACATTTTTAAAAAGTTTCAGATGAACTAGAAGATGGCTGGAATTATTCTGCCCCTACCACCTGAGTAAGTCAATCCTGAATTTTTAATACTAGTTGATAAGAAAAGAAGTCTTTTAAAGCATGAAAACCTAAGTATTCTCATTTTCTTAGAAACTAGTCAGGTCCTTGAACATAAACCTCTCCTCACTCAGGATACTGGTGTTGGTAACAGTCGCACAGAAATAAGGCTTTCCAAACAAACATCTTATCTTTCTATGGAAGGAAGTTCACAAAGAAGGAATTGACGCTCTTCCCCAACGACGACGACAATACATTTTTGGGTTCCTTTCCCAGAAATCAGTAAACAGCAAAAGAGCTTTCATTTAACAAGAAAAACAAAACAAAACAAAACAAAAAAACCCAAAGCGTGTTCATAACAAATGCTTAAATCTAACCCATATGCCGCTTACATGCTTCAAAAAAGGGGACGGTTCTTGTGAGCCAATTTCTCCAGTCATTCTTTGCCAAATAAAGCAGATTTCAGTAAAAAGTTTTCACCGCCTGAGAGGGGGCCCTGTTCGTTTTGTGGGGTATCGGGTACTATTTAGTTTTCATTCAGAGTTTCCAATTCTCTACTTACTGGGCTTTTTCCCACTCGAGCGGACCTGACCCACTCTGGATAAGCCCATTACAATCGGGAAAGGACCACATCTCTGGGCGGAGGGCACGTCTGACACGCTGATGGGGTTTTGCATGCACGTCCCACACCAACATGCTTTGTGTACATGTTCCGTCCGTGGTGTCATGTGGGCCAGGAAGCTGGGGCACAGGGCCCTGGGGACCGTGTCAGCTTAATGTAGGACACGCACCCTCACGTTCACGTCGCTGTGCCCGGGAGAACTCGGCTTCCACAGCAGCCCACCGCAAGGTCCCCCCGCCGCGCGTGGGCGCTGTCCCTGCCATTGTCCACCCTAACGAGGACGGGCTCGGAGAAGAAACACGGTGCTTACCATTCTTTAGAGTGTCACTCTCCAAGCCATGAAAAGAGGGGTTACTGCCAGAGCATGTCCTGTCCCCTGGAAAGTGAGCAGATATCTCCAATCATGTTTTAAAACGCCAGCAGGGAGGCGAAGGGAAAAAGCCCAAATGGAGACGCCAGCTGCTGGGGACACAGGCGCTTCCCGGTCAGCGTGTAGTGACAAGCCCTTGCAAAGGCACGACGTGGCTGTCAGATGAACATGAGAAAACGAGGCTCTGCAAAGACGTCTCCCCACACAAATGCTCTTTCACACAGAAAGCAGGTCAGCAGGCCCAAATCTCCTCCTGTCCGTGAGCCGGGGTTATCTGGAGCATGAATGTTTCATGACACATCATCCGTGTCCTACACAAACTCCAGGCTTCTCAATGACCTCACCGTGCAATTCTCTCGTCATGTGATCACGACAACACCCAAAATTTCAATGCTAAAAATAAATGTTAATCCACATGCATCGGATTTGAAGGACTAAAGGCACAAAGATGGTTTCCTGCCTCGCATAACCGAAGCAGTGTGGCACGTCGCCTTTACCTCACCCTACACGCTCCTGGCCAAAGCCACAGATTTAAAGGATCAGGGTGTCCACGGGAAGCTTCCAGAGAATTCCCTGGTGCCTTAAAGACACATGGCCCGAGTAGTACCCAGTCCCTACCTTCTCCGATGTCTTGTCTTGTGCAGGCGGCCCGGCCCCGAGCAGGGGTGGCGGGGGAGGGGCTCGGCGCTTCTTCATGTCCGACCTGACCGAGGACACCCCTGAGATGTTGCTCAGTGAGACGGATGGACCCAGCGTAATGGAGCGGGAATTCACAGACGGGGAGTTTGGCGTCGTCAAGCAGCCCTGTGGGGGGAGAGACAGACATGAAATGTCATCACAGCGAGACGCCCTCCCTGTGTATGAACGCTCGGTCCTGCAAAGCAAGTGGCAAACCGTCTGTCCAGGTTCCCCCTGTCCTCATGTCACCGTCAGGCTGGAACGGCCTGTGCAAAACCCTTATTTTCACTTTCCCGGGAAAATCATCGTAGAGGACATCACATGACAGAGTCCTGATATAAGGTTTGTTTCCTTAATCATAAAGGGAATGGCCGACTTCCAAAACCTCTAAGGAGAACGCTGACCCGTTGGCATCATTTACTGTCCTCCACCAAGCTGCGGGCGTGAACTAGTCTCCTTAGAGCTTGACTCTGTCATCAGGGCGAGCCCTGCGATGCCGAAAACAGGGAGCAACAGATCAAGAAGCACGTTTCTCACAGAGAAGAAGGTCCCACTTTCCTTTTAACTTCCAGAAAGTGGGCAAAACGAGAGGAATAATGGACGTGCTGCGCAGACTTTGTGTGACAGCTGAAGGCAGCACTTTGCGGCAGACACAAGCAAACTCAAATTAAGTGCAATGCAGCACCCAGTTAATGACGTTTCTCCCTGGGGAGCCGACTAAAGGGCACACACATTTTTTCAATCCTTCCTGCCTCTGGTCTGCTTCGTAAAGTCCTAAGAGTGTTTGTGCAGATGGAGCGTTTGGAGAACTCGCGTTCTAATTTCACATTACAAACGCAATGGAGCCCACAGCCGCCCCGGGGCACCATCTCCCCGGCCCTGCCCGTCTGTCTGGCTCCTCCCCGGCCCTGCCCGGGTGGCCTCCCCAGCATGGTGCCCAGCGCACAAGAGCCTTCCACACTGAGACCAGTGCAGGGAGAGGTGAGCCCACAGATGATGCAGACACGCTGCCTGGGAGCGATTCCTGGCTGTGCCATCCATAAGCTGCGTGACCTCGGGCCAGGTCTGTGATTATTTTCTGCCTCAGTTTATCTCCCGCACACCTGGGGTAAACACCAGTACCTACACCACAAAATGGTCATGGGAAGGAACTAAATGGGTTACTGCCTATGAAAGACCTTCAGAGGGTTCTCAGCACAGTGTGTGGGGGCCAACTGGGTGGTTATTCTATATTGGCTTGTTTCTCCCCCACCAAACTTGGGGCCCATGGGGCAATGAGTATGTTGTTTCCACCTAATGCCTGTCCCAGCCCCTAACAGCTCCTGGTATGTGGAGGAGAGTGAACGAATGGGTGAGAGACCCCTGGGCAACTCCACTCCCACATGTTACATAATGAGCTCATGGAAATGCTTTCACGTGAACAATGGTTCTGCATATTTAAAATAAATGTGTAAGGAGGACCCATCACATTCAGCTGCAGCCAGTGTCACCTGTGCTCAGACTCAAATTCTATTCTGCTCTGCCAGTTACAGCACTGTCATTCTGTTCCCTGAGAGCATTTTTTGAGACTCAGGTTTTCTGGAACTTAAATATGAATGTCAAAGGTCAGAAACAAGCCCTGAGGTTAATTTTACATCAGTTTGTGCTTCCTGTGAGATGCTGAGCATCACAGATACCCGGTCATCAAATGCAAGTTCCTGTAGGAAACAGGTAAGGGCTCTACAGGAAATAGCCGGACACCCAGAAAATCGGTCAATGCCTTCTAAGCTCCCATGGAAAAAGGTAAAGAAAACATATAAATGTTCCCCCCAGCCCTTGAGCTCTGCAGACATTGGACCCACTACTGTGGAAATAAGCTAACGCAAAGTGAACTCTGTTACATATTTCCTCTGTCTTCCATCTACCTCCGTCGCAACCGTGAGGACATGAGGACACAGGAGGGGCATGTACTTAACAAAGCAGAGTCCAGAAGGTAAGTGATGCAAATCAGAGTGGGGCTGGGCGAATCCACGTCAAGCTGTGGAGGGGTTTCCTTGGCTGGCTCGCTCACACCCCCAAATGCAAGTGGATGCAAACATGTGGGGTGGAGGTTTGCTAGGGCTTGTGAAACACGAGGGAGAGACACACACCACGCTGACGTGGTCACCTCTCAGCATGCGGGGCCCCTTTCCCATCCCGTAAACACACGCCCACGAGAATGCCTTCCACTGCATCTCCGCATGCCACCCTGTCCAGAGACCGCAGCTTCCAGGGCCTCTCGTCCACAGCTGGGCGCGCCTGACCCATCGCCCGGCACTGCGAAGGCTTCCTGTCTGTCCTTTCAATGCTCCCGAGCACTTTCTGAAGCTCTGTGCGGAAGCCCCCCTGCAAAGCACTTTCCAGGCCGTCCACGGTGGATTGATCGCAGGCTTTAAATCTGTAATCATATTGCCTCCGTGGCGTTCTGACATCCCGGGTTGTCACCTCCTTGAGGTGGGAATCGCCCTTGGTTCTCCCGACAGCCCCCACGATGCACACACACAGGCAGGGACCTCACGGTGGGAACAAGTCATCTTTCAAACAGGGCAAGTGCCTTCTGTCAAAGTCGCTGTCAGCACCGAACATGTTTGTGTCACATTGGAGGTGTCCCCTCTAGCTTCCTTCTTCTCTGCTAAGTAGTCTCAGTAAGAACGACCTCGTTGGGGCCCCAGTGAGAGGCCCGAGCAGGAGGCCGGAGGCCCACAGCTGACCCAGCCCAGCCCCCCTTCCAGGTCTGCCACCTGCCACCCCAGACAGTGCGCTTCTCACAGCCCATGGTCTGTCTCCAGAACACAGCCGCATGTTGACACGGGTCTTTCAGCCCAGACCTGCTCTCCACAGCCCACGGACAGCCCCCCAGCACCCCGCGCAGGCACAGCCAGGCCGAGTGCAGCACCCGCCGCCCGTGTCCCTCAGCCCCACGCCCAGCAGCGACTCCCCACCTTCCACCCAAATGCTCGGGCTGCTCAGAGGATGGCTGTGGTTTGACTCCTATCTTCCTCTCGTCCCACTTCTGGGAATTGTGCACAGGAGGCAGCAAACAGCCCACAAGATAAGCTGGGTGGAAAATACCCTTAAAATCAGACGGCCTTTGCAACGCTGACTCACATCAACAGTAAGTAATGTGGGAAGCCGAGAGTTAATGCACACAGCCTGGGGGGAGGCAGCAGGCCCAGGTCCTGCCATGCCAGTTCCAGGGTTCTCTCCTGCTACAAAGTGGCAAAGTTCCCAGGGACTGACCAGGGCTTGCCTGCCAGAGAGATTTGGTTCCCTGTTCCTATCCAAACTGGTCAACACTGTTTTCTTTGAACTCCCAAGTCCTTTTGTTGAAGGGGAGAACTCACGCTCTCTCTCAGGCTGGCACCCACACCCACAGGCTTTGGCTACCCCAGTCTGACCAGGATTTCTCAGGAGTCTTTCTCCTGAGGACAGGCAATGAATTGGGTCTTAGAGAGGAGAGAGAACAGAGCCACCACAACCTTCATGTCTCAGGCCTCCGGGGACCTCAGGCTGTGGGCTGTCAGCCTGTGCCAGACAGGCTGATGTCAGCTGCAGGGACAGTCAGATGGTGACAAGCCTAGACGCTGTGCATCGCAGGCCCAGTGGTAGCCCTACAGGATAGACTAGACTAGACTCGGACAGAATACGTCCTGTTCTCCCTGTGTCTGACCACACTGCTGGGCGGAACAAGCCCAGATTCTCTGCAGGGAGCTGCAGGACCCAGGGGCGAACCCAGGAATCTGGCCCCACAGAAGCCCTGAGCTCCCAGGTGGATGGGCGGCCTTCACCTTGGCCTCTGGAACCGGTTCTGCCCACAACCCAGTCAGGGCCGTTAATGCAGCACCAGGGGCCTCGCTGTGACAGTCCGGCTCTCCACTAGCCCTGAGGAGGACCCTGGGAGGCCTGGGTTTCCCTATGGTAGTGCTGGGGCCCCCAGCACTGCATAAAGCCGGGTGTCTCCCCACTCCCTCACTTATGCTGGACCAGAGGTCAGTACTGGGCAAGGAGCCACATCTGAGGTCAGTTCCTCTTTCAAGCGAGCACAGTGGCCAGGTGTGTTCTTCGCTCCAGTCCTTCAGGCACCCGTCCAGTTCACAAGCACGCACCTCGCCACTCGGGCTGGGGCTGCGGTCCTGTCCACAAAGGGAAGGACATAGGGACCCCGAGGAGAAGGTGCTTGTAGAGACAAATGGGGGAACGCTGTACCGAAACCCTTCTGCTCAAGGTGAACTGAATCAAAAACAGCAAGGATGAGGAGTGATGCTTTTCCCATTGCTCAAAGCTGTCTGTTCTGGCAAAGAAGACCCTGTCATGTGAGGCCCGGCTATGTGACCAAAATCCAAGTGATCTCTTGACCTCGTTAGTGAGGAATTCCGATAGAGTTTGTTGTTTAAAGATTGAGGAAAATATTTTGGTTACCCTGAGTATCAAATACCACCAACAGTACTGCCACTACAGACTCTTCGAAATTAAATCAGGTACTTACTTCTAGGATGGCATGATTTTAGAGGGTTTTTTTGTTTGTTAATTTTTTTATTCCTAACATAGGTTTACTTCACAAAAAATTATTTTTGGCTTTCATGTAAGTGAAATCACTAAAATAATCATTTTCAAATAGTTGTGCTCTATGGAGACGAATGATATCAATTTTTAAAAAAATGTTACTGTCTTCAAGGGTACAAAATTTAAATATATCATTAAAAACATAACTGAAAGTAAATATAAAAAATAAAAAAAACTAAAATGTTTTCACATACACTTTCAAAAAAGTTATGCTTATCAATCAAAATTAGTTAAAATTAAATAAATGCATATTATAATTAGTGGGTATGACAATTTTAACTTAAATTTTTTTTTAATGGTGAGAAAACGGGCACAGGATGATGAGCTGAGCCACTTAGGGGGCGAATTAAAGTGGACTCAGTGCCCGGACCCCTCTGTGCTCCCCCCTCCTCCAGCCGTGCTGCTCCCTGTTGAAAGGCTTCAGTACTTTTCTTCTCTTTTTTCCTTTCTTTTTCTTTTTTTTTTCCTAATGCTTTGTCAAAGAATCAAGTGGGAGAGGATTCTGGAAGACCCGTTCTCCACACACCTTGTCTTCTGACACAGGC